CAGCATTATTTACAATAGCCAAGATGAATCCACAATTACAGCTGAAGTTTTTAAATACTTCTTTGTCATCAGGTGATAAAACAGGACAAAAGTAAAGCAAAATAGTAAGGATATAAAAGGTTTGAACAGGGCCGGCCAAATGGCGGGTTGGTTAAGAGTTGGCTTGGGATGCCAGCTCTGAGCAGCAGGGCTGAGGTTCGGATCCCACATTAGGGCCAGTGATGCTGCGCCCTCTACAGCTAAGATGGTGAGCAACAGCTCTACCTGGAGCTGGGCTGCCGTGAGTCGCCAGCAACAGTGTAGACTGCAGTGAGGCTGCAGTGGGTTGTCATGAGTGGCCGGCAGCTGGCATGAGCTGCCAAGAGCCGCCGTGAGCGGCCATCCGGTGGCCGGCGACCGATCTGCCTCACCCGGGAAAAGCGCAATGATAATACCAACATAAGCCAGTGAAGCAACGTCCTCCACAACTAGACTGAAGAACAAAAGGACAGCAACTTGTCTGTTCCCCTTCCCAGATTCCCCAATAAAATCTTTAGGAAACAAAAAATTATAAAAAAAAAAAAGATTTGAACGATACTACAAACAGTTTAATCTAAACATTTACCCAACAGGATATCCTAAACTTCAGAATGCACATTCTTTAGAAGTACAAAAGGAACATTCACCAAGCTAACCTTCTGGGCCATACAACAAGTTTCACTCGACCTTTTGGGCCATAAAACAAGTTTCAATGAATCCGAAAGGATTGCAATAATATAGGATATGTTTTGAAGACAATTTATAAGAAATCAGTAACAAAAAGGTACCCAGAAAATCTTAAAAATATCTAGGGATTAAAGAACATACTATTGAATAATCTATGGTTCAACGAATAAGCAAAAGAAGTTAGAAAATATACTTAACAGTAATGAAAACATATCAAAATTTATGTAATACAACTAAAGCAGTGCTTAAAAATTTAAAGCATTAACTATATTTCAGAAAAGCAAAACAGGCTTAAAAGCAATGACTTAAACTTTCACTTTATGAAGCTTGAAAGAAAAGAACAAATCAAACCCCAAATAATTAGAAAGAAAAAAATGTTAAAAAATGGAAATCAGTGAAATAGAAATCAGATCAACAGTAGATAAATCAACAAATCCAAAGGTTGGTTGTTTGGAAAGTGGAAAGAGCAATACAAATGATTGGCATGTAGCTAGAGTGTACAAAAAAAAAAAAAAAAAGAAACTAAAAGTTACCATTATCAGGAATGAAAAAGGGGACATCAATATGGATCTTGAAGATTCTAAAAGGATAATAAGAGAATATCATGAACTACATATTGCTTATAAATCTGACAACTTAGATGAAATGGACAAATTCCTTGAAAGATACAAATTACCAACTGACAGAAGAAGAAAATCTAATGATCACTGTATCTGTTATAGAGAGAAAATTCATAATTTAAAAGTTTTCTACAAAACTCTAGACTCTGATGGTTTTCTTGCTAAATTCTATCAAACATTTATAAAAGACAAATCTTACTAAAACATTTCATGAAAATTGACCTTCCAACTCATACAACTCAAATGACCTGAAAACAAAACCACACAAGGACATTATGAGAAAAGCAAGTTACAGACCAATATCTCTCATCAATGTAGGTATGAAAATCTTTAATGAAATAATAGCAAATTGAATTCAGTATGAAAACACATCATGACTAAGTGGGGTTTATCCCAGATACAAAAGGTTAAATTAACATTCAAAAATCAATGTAATTCATCTTGCTACTAAAGGAGAAAAATTGTATAATCATCTCAGTAGATCTATAAAAAGCATTTAATGCCAATTCATGAGTTAAATTTATTTTTCAACAAACTACAAATGCCATGAAATTTCCTCAGCCTGATAAAAGGCATTTAGAAAAAAGATACAGAGAACACCATAGTTTTTGGTGAAAGAATGAATGCTTTCCCCATAAGATCCTGAACAAAGCAAGGATGTCCACTCTCACTTCTATTCAATGTAGAGTCCTGGCAGGCATAATAATCATTAAAAAAAAAAAAAAGGCATACATGTTGGTGGAAAGGAAGAAGTAAAACTCTATTTATAGACAACATGCTTGACTATGTAGAAAATCCTAAAAATGTACAAAAAAGCTACTATTAGAATAAATGAATTTAGGAAGATCCAAAGACATAAGGTCAATATGCAAAATCAATTATATTCCTATATACAAGCAACAAATACTGGAATTTCATTTTTTTTAAATAACATTCACAACAGAATCAAATCTAAAATATTTCAAGATAATTTTAATGGAAGATGTGTAAGAGATCCACACTGAAAAGTGCAAAACACTGCTGAAAGAAATTAAAAAAGATCTCTATAAATGGAGAGAAGTATCAGGTTCATGCATTGGAGGACTCAATGTTGTTGAGATTTCAGTTCCCCCTAACGTTAGATCTTTAGATTTAGTATAGTCCCAGTCAAAATTCCATTGTGGTTTTTAGTGAAAATAAACTTAAATATGGTTCCTAAATATCAGGGAGGGGACCAGCACCTAAAATGGCCATTCTTGAAGAAAAGAAAATGGTTGAAGGACTTGCACTACTTACTTTCAGAACTTGCTATAAAGCTACAGTAATTGATGCAGTGTGATGGTGGTGTAAGGATAGACAAATAGAGTGATAGAAAATTCAGAAATAGACCCACTCTAACACAGTCTGCTGACTTCTGACAAGGGCTCCCAAGAAATTTAATTAGGAAAAGGAAAATTTTTTTAACAAGTGATGGTGGGGCAGTTGGCTTTCTACATGGAAAAGGATGAACCTCAACCCCTACTTCTTACCATACACAACAACTGATTTGGGATGGCTCATAGACCCAAACACGAAAGCTAAAACTATGTCTTCTAAAAATATACATAAGTAACAAAATAACTTTGTGACCTTGAGGTAGGCAAACGTTTCTTAGGTTTCTATACAGAAAAAAAATTAAAGATATTGATTAATTGAACTTCAAATAAAAATAAATAGCTTCTGTTCATCAAAGACACGTTAAGTAAATGAACAGGCAGGCTGTACACTAAGAAGATTTCCACAATACAGATACTGGGCAGAAGACTTATATGTGAAATATATAAAGAATTTCTACAACTCAATAAATAGACAATCAGCTAAACAGAAATGGATCAAAACACTTGAAAAGACCCTTCATAAAAGAAGATATATGAGTGGGTAGTTAGCACATGAAAACATGCTCATAATTATTAGTTATCAGGTAAATGATAACTTGGATCACCATGAGATACCAATATACACGTGTCGGGCTGGCTAAAATTAAAAAGACTGACAACATCCAATGTTGGGAAGAATGTGGAGTGGCTGGAACTCTCGTACATTGCTCGTGGGAGTATAAAATGGAAACCATTTGTCAGCTTTTTGTAAAATAGGCATCTGCCCTATGACCCGGCAAGTCCACCTCTCAGAAGAAAGAAAACAGGCACATTGAGGGAATTGCGTCAGAATGTTTATAGCAACTATATTTGTGGTGGTTAGAACCAGGGATAGCCCAGGTGTCCATTAATAAAAGATTGGATATGTGAATTATGATATAGTTATACTATATACTCAACAAGGAAAATAGCTAATTACTAATACATGCAACAGTATGGATAAATCTCAAAAAACATGCTGAGTGAAAGAAGCCAGACAAAAAGCAGTACCTACCATATGACTACGAGTATGAAATTCTAGAAGAGGCAAAACTAATCTAGTGGTGAGAATCAGAATATCAGAACAGTAGTTGTCTCTGAGGGAAGGGGACTGACTGAGAAAGGGAATAAAGAACTTTCTGGAGTGATAAAATCTACAAACACACATATCATATTGTCATACCAATGAAAATGAATGGATTTCCTTGCTTGGAACCTGGGCATCAGCATTTTTACAGTCCCTCCCCACCCCAATACACAGGTAAGCCTGGTGCATAGGAAGGATTGAAAAAGAGCACTCAAGAATCTCTATTTTGTCAGCATGCAATATTTGTCTTTAATTTTACAAATGGAAATTATGAAATGACCATTTGATGTAGATCCCTTTACAATAAAAAATAAAAAAATTCTGTTACTTTGTAACAGGATAAATAAATGCAAAAGATTCCTATTAGTACTAAAAAAGCATTTCTCTCTCTGGATACACTTGTATGCTTGCTGGTTGGATGAGAAATGACTAACTAGTATGCTTCTAATTTTTGCCTTGGCTGTCAAGAAGTTCAGATCCAAATTCAGTGCTCAGTTTAGTAATTAACATCCCAGCTGCCTGATATACAAGTTTTGGGGAAGAAGGGGTGGGAGATAGAAGGTGGGGGTACTAAATTCTCCTGCTGCACACTGTAAACTACCTCAAATCATTTTGGGAAAATGATGGCATATAAATCATATAAAATGTTGGCTATTTTGAAAAAAATATTTTTTCAGTGCAATATAAATACATTGTATGCTTCTCCTTCTTGTCAAAAAAGGTTAGATTAGAAAGACTTTTGCTGTGGCCTGAATGAGTCACCTGCCACAGGTGTGTCTCACTATCCAACCAAATGATCAAATGATGTGAAAAACACATTTTAAAATACAACCATATTGACAGGGAAACGCTTCACTTACATTTGATTATAAGGGTTAGACTGGAGGAACCAACAGGAAAAGTATGGAATATGTTAAGAGTCCCTAATGGATCGTAGATGGCATAAAAAATTTGTGTACTTCGTTACATTTTTAGGCTAAAGGAAGACGTCAGATCTGTACCCAAATGTGCTCATGCTCACTGTCATTCTGTTTCTGTAATAACTGGTGTTGGCTGCTTTGATTTCATCTGCTGGGTAGGGTATTTTCTGTCCCTTCTCATTTAACAAGACCATACAACCTTGGCCCTCAGGAGAAAATAAAATGTCTTTTTTCCCAAAGGGCATATTCTAATGTAACATTAAGGAAAAACAAAGCAAAACAAAAAGCCCCTCACCTGAGCTGCTGCTTCATCGTTAAGTGATCCAACCAGTGTTTCCTCTTTTCGCACTTTTCTCCGTGTTGCACAAGACTCAGTGCTTCTCTCACCACGGACTTCTTTTCCTACTAACCTAATTTGCATATGATTGACTTGCTTTGTTGTAGCCTTCTGCAAATCAACCTGTTGACATAGAGTAAGTAATAATATATAATGAAAACTTTTGACACACACACCAAAAAAATGCATTTATGCTCAGATTCTTGAAAATTCTACACTTGCCAAGCTTTGAAAAATAAAAGAAATAGAAAAGAGACCAACAAATGGATGTTACAGAAAAAATACAGTAGTTGGCAAGATCCTGACCCTTTCTCATCAGGAGGACAAGACCAATTAAAATTAGTGTCGCTGTTGTGCAATCTTTAGAAGTGATCTCCACAGATAACTTGCTTATTGAAAGCAGCGTTTTTACAGAAAACTGTCACATTTTAAAACTGCACATGAATTCATTATTAACCTTTGCTGGGAGTAGATCCAGGGTATCTTTTTAGTTTAAATTGTTATTAATTAGAATCTTAGTTTTCTAGCTGTGAAGTGAGTCTGCTTAACGTGAATATGTAAAAGGAGCTTATGATGTTGCTTACTTTTTTATACAGGTAATTTAACCTTGGAGCGGACGAGTAACAGTTCATGTTATCTAATGCTGTGTACCAATATTGGAGGTTAAGTTCTACAACAAGCTTGCTGTCTCTGAGGTTTCTTTTTCACACCATGGTGCTATCTGGGGGATGAGTGACTCTTAATAACCTTGAGTAGAGAGGGAAACACAAGGGCAAATCCCTCAGTACAGCTGGAAGATCGAAAGCCACAGTGAAGATCCTTACGTGAAGTATTTGTCCAGAAACTTCATGTTTACAGCAGCTGAAAGTGCCATCACCTTTGTTTCATGGGTTCAATAGGGGGCAGGAGATAGCAAGAGCACAAGGGGAAATAATGGAGTAGCCAAAAGAGAGAATGAATTACATTTGGCTGGGCAAGCAGAGCCTTAATTTGTAGTCTCTCAATTTTTAGCTTCCATTGACAAGCGTGTTCACTCCTTTTAAAACATGCTGGTGTTTTGTGGCTAGGTCCAAGTTGTCACAGCATCATTTTTTACTCATCCTTCCTCCCGGATCCCAGCTTCTCAAAGGATAGCAAAACCACTGCCTTCCAGTCAGCTGAATATTGGAATTGTTTCCTAATCACTCAGGGGTTCTTTATTTCCACCACTCAGCTCTCCCAAACTACTGGGAAAATCCACGTGTGACCACCTCCTGAGGCACTCTTCCACTGACGTCATCTTGGTAATAAATGGTCATCTCCCCACTAGCGGGAAACAAAGCGTTTCCCGAGGCTGTGGTACACAGTTTCATCCTAATAAAACACTGGCTTGCCAATCATTGCGAAAAGGTGTTCTGTGATATAAAGGATTCATTGAGATATTTTTCTAGTGCCTCCTATGTGCTAGACACTTTAGGTGTAACGGTTTTCCCCCTGGAAGCCTCTCACATGCAAACATGTATTTGGTCTAACACATTCAGTCCACTGTGAGGCCTCCTGTAAGACATGGTGTCAGTTGGCTGGATGGTTAGGTTGTGTCGTGCTGCCATGGACACTTCTAGCTAACAAATACAATCATATCCAGTTTATGGAAAAGTTCTATTTCTAGGAAAACTTTTAAAATGGTAAGAGAGAAGTGGGATATTAATTTAACTCTTAATTATAAACAACGAAATTTTTTTCTCAAAGATATAGAAGTTAAATATAAAAAACACTCTGGACAACCCACATAATTAAATAGATGGATACTATCCAAATGTGTGTCATTTCAAGAAAATGGCTATTCAAACAAGGTACTTTTTATTTAATTTTCTACTGGTAGTTCACAATGTTCTATAAAATCAGGAACACTTTTGGATCCTTAACATTTAAGAAGCCAAAAATATGCTGATAATTAAGAAGTTATATTCTACCTTTCTCACCTATAGACAATAATAAACATGAAGACAGGCTTAACGGAACTATTTTGCGAATTGAAGCTCAAGGAAGAATTTTATAAACTTAAGTTCAGTACAAAGATTACGACTATCAATATATTTACCCCTAAATTTGCTTTGGGAACCTCCAGTATAGAACGAATGAACCCAGTTTTACTGTCTGAAATATAGGCTAGCTTGAACATTTTCACTCTGCCCTACAGCTACTCCTCGGCCTAGGTAAAGCATTTAGCAAGGACGGGTGGCTCATCATGCCCAGGTGTCCATGCTATTAAAACATGGATTCAGGTATCATAATATGGAGGGAGACACTGATAAACTGATAAAAGGGTCCACTACCGACTCATGAAGAAACCCTGCTTATTCAAGGGTTGACTTGGGGCTTTATTAACATTGGTTTTTCATTTTGGCTTTAGCATTCTCGTCTGGGGATTCTAGAGCTTTCACTCACCTCAGTAAGCATTCTTACTGAAATATGGCTTCCTTCAGTGAATTTTGGACATTAAACCCCAGTGGATAGCACAAATAGACCATGGTAGCCCTAATTCCTCTATTTTGACAGTACTACTCCAGTACCCATCAGAACTACTGGAGACTGGTTTTAGCTATACATGCTGTCATTCTGATGGAGGCAAAGACCCCAGGGGAAAAAGTATCAATGTCTCTACTATCTTGACAAAAATTCATTTCCAATTTAACTCCAGTAGCAGTATTTGAGGACTTGTCAAAGAAGGCTCAGTTTACAGGGAACCGTTTATAATACCTAGTAAAACCTAGTATTGAAAAGATACCTTAGTTTTCCTGTACGAAAAGATGATGTAAATTTGCTGAGATCTTTATGGTGGGATGTGCTATTATATTTTCTAATACCTAACCAAAACATATATTTAAGAATACTAAATTTAAAAGTCACGACGACTTATACTGAGGGAAATAACATTTAAAAAAATTAAACATTCATAACTTTCCTTTGACTACTGAATCATGGAAACATTTATCTAACTGTATACATGTCTGGTCCACTGGCTTCTTTTTAAGTATCTTTGTCTAAAAAGTATAAGTCCAGAGTTCATTTACAAGTCTGCTAAATAACTAGCGTGATCCATGTATAGAGTACCAAGAAATGTTTTCAGGGGGATTATAAGGGAATTCTGTGACTAAAATGAGAGAAATTTGGGGCCATGTGATTAACATTTTATTCTGGACTTAAAAATATGGAAGCAATCAATTGTGGGAACTATCTTATACTTGTATCATGTAAGGGAACTGAGTATAAGACAGTTTATATTGTCATACTTTGCTTTTGAACATTTTCAAGTCTGGTTTTCTCAACATCACAAAATCTATAAATTTAAAAAATAAAAAAAAAATACTACGGTTTAGCCACATATGGTGAACCTATATTTTATACTATGATTATTAAATATATTTGTGTACCTACATAAAGTCATTACCCAATAAATACTGATATGCTGTGAAATATATACCAAATAATCATACTTTCTATACACTGAGGAGGATGATATTAGTAACAGAAATTAAGTAAGGTCTTAAGAATGTATATTATTCTTAGTGTTTTCTTTTTATTCATAATCAAAGTGCTCTACTCAAAAAAGAATAAAATATTTTTGATTGAGGCTCACTGAAAAAATGTTTTATGTTCTATTCTCTGCATATAAAAATGGTTTCACAACAAACATCCCTTGAATTTGATGAAACTGAAAATTCTGGTGGATAATAATTAGAATTTTATATCAGAGGATACAGCTATCGGTTTTTAAAATGTCTTCTTTTATATTTCAATTAAATTTATGAAACTGAAAAACCACAAAAAAAGGGAAAAAAACCTACTTAACTTAGTGTAGATTAAGTGGTGACCATTATTGCAAGGAAAATACTACGTCAAGAAAATGGCTCTTTGTTTTGTTGCGAAAGTAATAAAAACACAAAAGTCAATAAAACTTAAAATAAGTCTCAGTAATTACCAAGATCAAAATCCAGTGGCTTTTTATTAAACATGAACTTTTGTTCTGCCTTCTGCAATACGTAAATAGTGCTGACAATTGGTTTGTGAGGCATTTGCTACAATAAAATGTAATTGTATCATGAGAGAAAGGTGACAATCAGGAGATCATGAAAAAATTACATATTCTCACTGGTAGTTAATTAGCCATGCAAAACCTCCTCAAACAGATATTCTCTTCTATTAGGAATGATTACTATGCAGGCCTACAGATGTCAATATCACAGTCACTCAAATACTTCTTTCCCTACTAATTGAAGGTTGTAAAGCTCTGGTGCCAAGGTTTTGCTTCCAAAGAGCTAATTTATGACTAGAAGGATATTTTATGTCTTCAGTTGCAGCAGCTACAAAATTCAGCAAATCAGAACCATCTGTGCACTGATACTTGACTCACCATTCATCTAGCAGCCTATCAGTCACATTAGTTTGCATCCTGCATTCTTGGCTCATGAGCACTTGTGATGATCCAAAGTTCATAAGAAATATTAAAAATGAATGGCATCCTGACCCTACCTTATTGTACACGCATGAAGGGAGAAAAGCCATCCCCACTTTTTTCTTTTTTTTCATGTAGATAGTGTCAAGGAAGAAATGGACATTTAGCTGCCTGTCTAGTAATGTTGCTGAAAGCACACTCAGGTTTCCCCACCCTCTTAAAAAATATTTTAAGTCCTAATTCTTTTGTATTGTTTCAAATTCTAATTCTTTTTTTCAAATTCTAATTCTTTTTTTTCAAATTCTAATTCTTTTCTCTTTTAAAGTTAGTGTGAGGGACTCAGTTGGAAGACAGCAGAGTAAAGGAGGAGGTTTAACATTTTAAAAACTATTTTAAAGAATTATTTCAATAAATTGAAGTATCAGCACATATAGATAATCTGATTAAATCTAAGACTGTTATTATCACCAATAAAGTCTGGCCAAACTGGTAAGCAAAAACCAAGGGCAACAACAGAAGAAACTGAAGGAAAGCAGCAAATAAAAGCTCTTATGAATAAAGCCAGATTAGCCTTACCTACTCCTATCTCTATGGCATCAGGGACTGCTTTCTTTCTTTAACAGGACACAACAGACCACAGGTCCTAAGACAATGTGTCAGAAGAACTTTCAAGAAAATTTCTGGGAGCTGAGTTATGGGAAATACAAATTAAATATAATAAGCAAGAAACTGGGTTGTCAGACTCATTTGGAATCTAAAACAACTTCATTTGGTACAAAGCTTCACAGAAGGTAATCCTAAAATTTTACTTACTCTTTGATTGTTGGGAGTACACACGTTGACACTCTCTCCTTTACTGGAAAATTCCAATGGTCCTAAAGGTATGCCGCCTGGGTTCAGAATCTTCTTGAGCATCTGATAGTTTGGCTTTTCATCATATGCTAAATTATGAGCACATGCCAAATATTGAGCTATTTCACCTGTGAAGTATTAAAATTTTTACATGTCATTTATAATTGGCAAGGATTGTCAAGACCCCAATAGCCTCAAAATCCCTCTCTTAAAACACACACACACACACACACACACACACCCTGAAGAAACTAAAAATAAACACTTCAATGAAAAGCACTTACAATATCCAAAAATGACTTAAATACAGGGACTTGCAGATTTGACAAGATGAGAGAAACTGGTAATTTTTTTTGCATGTCTTTGTTGATATATTTACAATTCACTAATCTTATCAAAGAAAGCAAATTTTAAAAATCATATTTAGTGATTTTGATTTATGGGGTACAACTACTAAGAACAACTTGAAAAATAGAATAGACCAAACATGCTTCACACTTTTTTTTAATGCTAAAGTTTTAAAAATTTGGTTAAAAACAATTGTTACTTATTATAAATCTCCTTACTTTAATGGGAAAAAAAAATCATTGCCAGTTTTAATTAAGGCTTTGATTTTGAGATTATAACAGTACCTTTAGAAATGACCTTGACTTCTACATTTTGAGCCTTGACTGAGTTTAGAATTCGCCAAACCCCTCTCAAGTCCTCCATACCTCGCTAGCCAAGTGCATTCGCGGCATAGTCTTCCTGATTTAGTGCAGAAGGAGGAGAAGTTGCCACCTTTTATTTTTTCTCTAATCTCTTGCCTAGAACTACAAAGTAACTCCCCTCCTCGCAAAACACTTATGACCTATAAACTTTTAAATACAAGTGGAATTAGTAACCAAAAGTTACAAACATAGCTGCCTTAAAATAAACATAGCTTGCATTTTGGTCTCGATGAAGGTTCAGTCTGAAATCCAGATACGAGTAAGTGATAATACCATATATATACTGTTCAAAAACTGGCATGTTGTCATTTGTTCATGGTGAGCTCTAGATACTCCACAAATTAGTTTTCACAAGCACTTCCCCTTCAAAAACTTACTACTGACCCAGGCACAAGTATTTCTTACTTTCTCACTAAATTGTTTATATCTCTTGGTAAGAAAATCTGGGAAGCTTGGTGTGCTAGCGGGAGTGAACTTCCTAACCCTTCACTTCTCCTTCAGGACTACCTGCATCCAAGCAGGGAACTGCAGACACGGGGTTTCAATGCCCTCAGGGAAAAATTCCAAAAGGAATGGTCATTATTTCTTTCTCTTCTATGAACCTCAAAGAGTGACCAGTTTACACCATATTGTCCACAGCTCTTTTCTAGGAAAAGAAGGCTAATGAGGCTAAAATGAGAACTCTTGGCTCTAGGGCTTTTGTTGTTTTGCTTTGTTTTGTTTTGGATATTGTGGCAATTATGCAACCTACTTTCCCCCTCTCTAATGTATATAAGATATATAAAATCTGTTATCTAGCATTCAATCAACCAGATTTCTGTTAACTAGCAAGGGCTGCAGTTTCATGTTTATAACTCGGGTTTTTCAGGAGCCCTTTGGGGGCACCCAATTCCTGAAAGGATGATCACAGAGGAAAAAAAAGATTAAATTATATTCACTGCCATTTTAATATAAATATTCTGTTGTTTGGGCCTTTCAAGATTGGTAAGCCAAGTTTGGTGTATATTACAATTCTATTAACCAACATATCCCAAATGGTGAAGAAAGCTGAATACGTTGGGAACATTTTTTCACAAATCACTGCTAGAAGACAATGGAAGACTCCTGGCATTCCACCAACGGACAGCAGCTGTGCTGCAAAGCCTTCGTGGGACTGGGGTTTGAAAAAACAAGGTGCCGGTGAAGAAGGAGGGAGAAAAAGAGAAGTGCTACCTCCACTGCAAATTTATGATTATAAACCTGAAGCTTAGACTACTGAGATGTACTACTGGTTTAGACGTTAGCCTTTCAAGATCTGGATTTATTATATTAAGTACACTTTTTAATTTACTAGCATATTTCCAGAGCTATAAAACAAAATGCTGTGAGTAGTAGGAAATTATGATATTCTTGAGTCGTCTGCTTTTTAAGCTAGTGAAATATTAAGTATCTGTACTATCATTTCGAGAGAGAGAAATTTTTGAAACCAGTATTACTACACTGAGTTGGGCATGCACACTGCCAACTTCTTGCTGTTTTATTTCATAAAAATCTTAGTAATAAACCTTTTGTAAATCTGTGTAATTTTCATGCTTGCAAGACCTACTTTCCTACAACAATCAACTAACTTAAGAGACCTTCAGTTAATAGTCAAGTTTCAACGTTTTGTGCATCAGAACTAGAAATCTGCATTTTATAAAATAATAGCATGGACTTGAATAAATGGTTTGTACTGAAAAGAGGAACCTGGCACTCCTGTCCTGATTTCTTGTGTCACTCAAATCTCCTTTTAACCTAGCTCTAGCAATAGAAGTCTCACAGAATATACACTGGCCTGCAAGCATTTATCTTGTATAACCCAGGGCTTCTGGGCTTTCTTTTCCAACCCTAAACTGGCAGGCACAGGAAAGGAAAAGCACACACACACACATACACACACACTCCTCACATCTCCCCATCTCTCTTTTTTGGCTGTCCTATTGAGTAAAACACAAACTGTATGACTTGGTAAAAATGCCAATAAGAATATTGGCCAAAAAGGAATATTAGCACTGAGACCATGTTAACTCAGTGCAGTTACAAAAACGAAAAACTTTCATCTTTCAACCCATGTCCCCAAATGAGAATGCTCTCCTGTTCACCCGCTTTCAGCAGAAGAAAAGGGACCGCAGAAAGTGGGAAGCAGAAAACGCAAACTGGACAGGCTGATGGGTTTGGGAAATGGAGGTGTGGAAGCAGATCTGGTGTGTTCCTCTTTCATTTTCCATGAAAATGAAAATTCTGCTTTCTTTTCAAAGAAGGGCTATCAATATAAGTTTAAGATGATTTACCTCTTTTAAACTCTCATTTGGCCATTGACGCTATTTGGCCTTAGCTTAGAGGGTCAGTGAACATACTCGCTTTCGTAAGTCTGCCAAAAGCTAACTGTAAGATTGCCCCATATAAAGGGAGAATAAGATTCCCTCTGCTTATCTGTTTCTAAGAAAAAGCCAGCCTGACAGCAAAAGGGAACTCTTTTCTATAAGACAATGGAACCCAGTTGTTAAATTGGTGCTGAAAAATGTGCCATGAATGCATGTGCAAATGACAAGCACTTGGGTAATTCTGAATTAACTTACTATTTTTACTGACAATGCTGTCAACTAAAGAATTCCAAAAATGGTCTAAACTTGAAAGGGAAAACCATTTAATGAACTATACCTCCAAATCCCAATGTCACATGCCTTTGCCAATCCAAAATTTTGTTGTTGGATGTTCAGTCAGAGTGTAACCCAGGATAAACAGCTTTCAAGTGTTTAATGATTTGTTTTGTTTTTTTAATTACTGATCAAAAGTGGTCTTTTCTTAGATCAACTTTATCTTCTTCCAACACTATACAGAGGGACAAAGATAGAAAAGTCAACTGAGAAATACCAGATAAAGTTGACTATTAAACCTGGGCATGAGTCCCAAAGTATGCATCTAAAAAAAAAAAATTTTTTTTCCGTCGGCAGAGCCTAGAGGGCTGCCTAAATATTTCCTTGCAGTGTTCTTGTGTTCTAATGTCAAAAGCTGATCCAAACAGTCTCTTCTCTGGCAACCTATTTATAACCCTGAAGAGTTTCCACCCACCCTTGCGGAATGGGAGTGGGTGGATTAAGCAAAGCTACAAAACAAGCGTGGCGAATGTGGTGACCTGTAAATCACACTGGAGAAGGTAGAAGTTATCGTTTAACTTACAGCAACTGCTTCCAGAAGGAGCCCATTTAAGCACCGACTCAGGGAGCTCATCCAACAGACTAAAACAAAATACAGTAATATACAATGAATTTGTTTGCAATCCTACAATTCACTGATTTGATTAGAAAACAAAACTCAAATTCTGTGCTGGCGAGTCACCAGTATCATGTGTTTTCGTGTTTGTTTGTTTGTTTCACCCACCTGTAGTGGGTAAGAGATTAAGTAGAGGTGGGGAAGATCCCCCAATTCTCATTGACCAATTTTATATCACCTAGAAACTAAACAATGTAGAATTACAGTATAAATGCTTTAATTCAAAGTTTACGCATGTCGAAATGTATAAGTAGTGATATCTGTCATAACTTTTTCTTAAAAACAAGAAAAAATACATAGAAAAATTGTATCCTGACTTGAAGAATATTATCCCTCAGGAACTTAGCACTGGGGAAGGGTAAAGTATTTCACCGATTATGTATACTGTTCTCTACTGGGCAGGGTTTTATACTGTCCTATGATTAAACAGGTTAGCAAGAAATACCCAAAAAACAAAACAAAACCGTTATTCTAACAATTTTCAATGGTTTAGCCTGAATAAGTACAATATGCTTATGTTGCTTCAGCCACAGATATATAATCATGCAAATAAATGACTGATAAAATTGTTTGATTCATAAACTCATCAGAGGCAGAAATCTAACAATAAATGCACTGATCTAATGTCAGCCTATGTCAGGGACATAAAGGGCATAGAAGATATAGGGTATCATGGTTGAATATGCAAGCATGCCCTTATGGGGAGTTCAGTGTTATGCCTTCTCAACAAGTTGAATGAATTCTGATATACTATGAGAAGTTTGAAAATGTCTATAGTTTACCTTAATTATAAACTTTACAATATGAAATTATCTTTACTGTTCTATAGGCTTATATTAGTAATCAAATCAAAATGAAGATATTGACATATGTAAGGGTCCCCAAAGTGTAAATGGGCATGTTTATTAGCATATTTTATTATTTGACATGCTCCCCTATTATTATATTTGAATATATATATATTGTAGGCATATTCATTAGTGATATCTATAATGAATGCATCTATATATACATATTGATAAAAGACTAAAATCACATTAGTCTTATTAAGAGAAATATAATCATTTGAATTAAAACGCTAACCTTTTAAATAAAGTACATTATTCAAATTCAGTAAACTGAGGTAGAAAATTGGATACCAAGACTATTTATAATTGAAAAATGTCAGTTACACGAGGGTTAATACGGACACATCAATCACTGCAGTCGATAACTGATCAGTTCTAATACTGACTTATATAAATGTGCTAGTTTGGGGTAAGGGACTCGGATGCTCAAGATTCCACGTGGAGAAACATGTCAAGTAACATAGAGCAGGTCGGTATTTACAAACAAGCTGCATTACCCTGCATCTGCAGGCTAGCCTCTCTCTCTGTTAAGGACCACGCCACGCTGAATCTGAAGACTGATTTCTAGGGATCAGCTACCCTCTTTGTAAACTTCTGTTGTAACTTGCCCTATTTAAAACACAGCTGCCTCTTCCAGTTGTGATATTATATCTGTGGATAACGACTGTTGAACATATCTTGGGAGATAATGAAAAACTGGCTATCCTGTGCTACATGCAATTGACTTTTTCTTAGGCTTGATCAGTGAGAAAACAGTCAAATAGTAACACACTCTGTTCTCAGTCTGACCTAATTTCCATGCTAACAGATTCTAGGTGATAAAAATCGAATGTGGAATATTAAAAATGTTTATATGGCTGCCAGGTTTTCTTAAATAAACACCTCATATAAAATTTTTGTCTCTTCTTTCAGAAACAAAACATACCTCTCTCCAAGACACTGAATTAAGAAAGAGGTATGTTGCTCTCACTTGAAAAATATAGACCATCTTTGTTCCATTCCACATTGTTGCTTCACACAGTTAGTATCAATCACACCGAGCTCAGGCTACCTTCATATACTTGTACAGTGCTAATCTGAAAATAGCCTTCCTTGAAAATACCACCCCCTAGAATCTAAGCATTGGAAAACACCATGTAAAGACATGTGTTGCATTATAGCTCACATACATGTGATTTCATAGGTGTTATCTTACTGGATTTTTATGTCTGTAAGCTGTTTGGTTTTTTAAAAAATATTTTTCAAATTTAAGAAATGTGTTTTGGCTACCATCTTGGGTGAACGGCCATTTCTCTGGGCTACCAGCTCCCTTTATGCATCCCTTCAGACCCCGCGGCTGTACGTGATGGGATATTTTAAAATCTGTACTTTGTTTTAGCAGTCTGGACGGCCATCGGGTCCTTCAGGTTCCATTCCCAGGGCAGTTTCCCACATAACCACCGCAGCAGGCAGTAGCCGAGGATTTCAAGGTCGCTTCGTCTGGACAGGGCTACAGGAGTCAGCAGTAAGAGAGAGAGATGATAAGCACGTTCTGAGAAATAGAGAAATCACTGAATGAACTGCTCACTATTGATGAAATATGAAAAAGCCAAATGGGCAACGTATTTTGTTTGTTCAGCTGGAGTAAAACTTAACTGCCTAGGCATTTGGCCCCAGTCCACAGACAGGCAGCGACTTGTGGCTGTTGAAAGTAAGGGTCAGTTTCCTCACCTCCTCCAACTTCATCCTTCCTTAGTCTGGCCTGTCACATGAACTTGATCTCCATGGCCTCTGACATGATCCAGACAACCCATAACCTGGCACCAACACTTTCTCAAAGAGCCAAGCAGTAAAACAAAGAAATAAATGTCTGCAGCTAAATTGCTAACATATGTTCCAGGAAGTCCATGGGGTCTGCATTGGTCATGCAGAGACCCTTTGAGTGCAGACTAAACATTGATGGCCTTTTCTGTTCCACTCACACTAGCGGCATTTGAAGTTGGAAGAATATGACAAAACTGCCATCTAGTGTGCAGTATTAAAAAACAGGTCTGTCTGAAGATTTTTTCAATTAATGAAAGTCCAGGATAGAACATACCTACTGTTTTGGTTACACAGTTCTAAACTTCTACAAATATTATTTTTAGATATAAGCAGCACTAAACTAAGATTCTAGTCAAATATCCTGAACGGAAGGTATAAAGATGAGGCAATGGTGTGCATGGGGGTGTGCGCAGAGGTGGTGGGAAGTAGATTTTGAAGCCAAAACACAGGCTTTCAGAATCTCCTATAAGATGGTTTTTCATATAAAATACAGTGAAAGAACATTTTTAGGGCGTTGCAAATATCATTTCTATCAAACTATTATAGTTCCATCATAATTTTATACATATTTTTAAGTGCCTTATTTCTAAAGATGGACAATGAAATATAAGAAACATGTCAAATATAACAAATATTACTGAAATAATGATTATAAAGTTAACAAAATACCACTAAAAAAAACATTTTTATAACCATTCCAAACTGTTATAAAACAAAAGGTTGGTGTTTACATTTCTCCCATTACCTGAATGCTCATCTGAGTCGGGATACAAAATCTTCTAAGTGCAACACGCGGCTGTTATACTTGCTATAAACAGGTATCCTATTTTATTATCTTTCATTACATAAACTCCAAAAAGTTGCTCAGTAAACTTAGTTTTTAATTTCAAAAGTTGTCTACAAAGAGTGCGATGCTGCTAGCACGCCATGACTACATTTGGTCACCACACAGAAGTTATTATAACAGCAGAAGACAAGATTAGCTCTTACACGGATTCTATTTTAACTGCTATTAGAGTGCTGGAATATTAAAGGCCCTCTTGTCTAGCAGGATTCTGCAGTCCCGTGGGTGCCATTTACTTTCTGCACAAGCTTCAACAATGTCCTAATGCAAGTCTTGGCTCTCTGATTAAAATAAAAACACAATCTCTACCGCACTGTTTTGGAGTGATTTCTTCAGTAATAAATCTCCCATTAATAATGGAATGGTTCCATTTGTACAGATGTGTTCCTAAGTTCCTTTTCCATTATGGCAAGTCCTGATTAGCACCACTTTATAAAAATCCACATCCTCTAATGTTCGAAAAACTATATTCTGGCACCTGTTTGGACAACATAGACTGCACACCAGAGATCCTCTGAGGAAAAACAATCAGAATTAAAATAGAATGAACTTTCCCAGTCACTTCCCTGCACCTCCCTCCCCCCCAACTGAGGGATTAATTGATATGAAGCTGTAAGTAATGACAAGTCATTTAGATTTCTGACGCCAATCTTTCATAAACTGGTCTTCATTTGAAATAGCCCATTGAGAGTTAACTTTCCTTCACTATTATAGTTTAGTCTTACCTAATTAAAATACATTATCACATTTTCAACCTTTTACTTGTTTTCTTTTACCACCCATGTACATTAATAACTATGGTTAGGTAAATGCTCTACCAGTTTCAATTAAGTTCTATAGAAATGTATATAATGTTAAAAAACAACAACAACAACAAAAAACTCTATAGTTACTCTTTCCCTCCATTAAAGAGATAAAAGTATTTAAATGTTTCTAAGTGTGTACCCTTCCTGAAATTCCCTCCCAGAGAAACAAATTGCAAAGTTTGATATGTTTTAGTAAAGTTAAACCTAAGATTCTACCAACAATTATGTCTTCTTTCCATCTACTGTGCACAGAAAAATAATTTTAATACATGTTAATCTAATTAAAAATAAATATTCTAGACAATATTAGCTTCTCTCTGTGTGTAATTAACACAACGAATTGATCATATGTCTTTAAATTGACTTTAAAAAAGAACATCAAAATATAGATGACATGAGAAAATGCTAATTATTGAATCTAGGAAATTAATATTTTGGTATTTACTGCATTATTCTATTATTTCCTTTGTATTTCAAAAGAAATAAAATGCTGAAAATACAAAGAAAAATAAGAATTGATCAGTTGAAGAGAAATATTGATACCGAAGTATAAAAAATCTTTTTTAATTTGAAAGTTGAAATATTTTATGGATTTTGTTTCTGTATATTTCTATATAATTTACTGTAATACACAGGGTTCTTCAGTTATATTTGATAGCTAATATAATCATTAACAGCGTATTTTCATAGAGTTCTTAAAAAAATAAAATTTTTACTCATGTTCTTACTGCTTAGAAATGTAGCAAGAGGCGGTTATTAATATTTTTCTTTTACACTCTCTTGTTAGTTTCTAAATATAATTTAACATCTAATTTTTATTTAGCTTATTAATATGGAGCAATGTAATGACTCTTTTAGTGGAAAGCCTGTGGTATTCTCAACTGCTCAACATTTCTGAATTATAAAGTATTGCCAAGAGTAACAACAAATTTTAAAAAAAGGCACATGTGGGGACGTGAATTCTATTTCACTAGAAAGCAGATTCCAGAAACAACTGACACTAGAATGTATAATTAAAATAAAAACAATGATGTGATTTGTGGAGCTGCTACTGTGCCAGACACTTTAACTGCTTTTTGTATTATCTAATTTAATCATCCTAACAATAATATAAATACTATTAACCCTGTTGACAAATAAGAAAATAGAGGCTCAGAGAGATTAAATAACTTGCTCCATATCACAGAGCAAAAAATGCCAGAGCTCTGCACTGGCATTTGTCTTTCAGAATCCAAAGCCCACACTCAATCTAATAATTACTCTGCCTCCATCTTTAGTTTCAACACCATTCAAACAACATTACGTATACTACTTCTATAGTTACGGAAATAACTGAAGCAGGCATTTTAACTTAAAACACCAAAAGACATACTCATACAAAGACAGTTGTTTGGAAAGGAATAAACAAGCAGAGGATTCTGAGGTCTAGCACTGACACAAATTTTCATGCAACTGTCTTTTCATGAAACTCTTTCAAACTATTGTACTTCGTTTTGAGGAAGAAGGGTATCTAGTTAAAACATTAATCTATCAAGTATTAGATGGTCCTTCCAAGCACCAGCTGGGACAAGGAGTTACTTTCCAGGACCGATCTTTATTCTAAAGGCAAACTGGAGTGAAATTATCTGGGTCCAATTCACCAAATGGAATGCAAAGGGAATTGGGAGAAAAAGACAATTGCAAGTATTAATCCCCAAATGGAACTGATTATTTGCCCAAAGTGTTTTCTGTTTAGTTTTATTTCTTATATAGAGCTACATTATGAAATGTGAAGAAAAACAAGATTTGGTAGGGAATAGTAAAGTGAACTTGCAAACTTTTGCCTCAAGTCGACAGGGTTTAAATGCCCAAAATACTAGTTCATATGCTCAGAAATAGCAATAAAAAAGTGGAAAACATCTGAATAAGATGCTCACTTGGTGAAGTGAAGGGTGACTATCGGCAAAACAAATTTAAAGTTTATTCATATTTTTCTAACTAGTGACCTATGTTATTCCGTATTTTACAAATTCAGATGTATAAAGAGCTGGAAAATGTTAAGGTGGCCACTGATGTTTGCAATTTCAAAAAGGATATTAGGAAAAAAGAATGCAATGTGTCACATTAAAAATAAAATATGAAATCCAAGTCTCTCTTTTTTCCATATCTTTTGAATTCTAAGCCTTATTTTCTTATGAAACACTACTGTGTGAGGCTGAGGAAAAGTTATTCAACAGAGCAAAGGTAAAGGTATCTTACGTTTGGCCAACGTGTACTCTTAGCCCAACCAAATGGTTCAAGACCTATATCATGACTTTCAAAGTCATGTCTAAATGTCAAACTGGGTTATGCCATGCAGAAGAAATACCGGTAGTATCTTCATTGTTGTCTATTTATATATCAACTAGAGGCTATTTATAGCAGTCAAATTTACTTAAAATAGAAATCAACAGTATGTTTTTCTAATTACTAACAGATCCAACAGAGCATATCAATAACTTGATGGTTTCCCGTAACTTATCGTAATTGGAAAATGGGTTCCTTTTTTGAATTATTGTTTAAGAAGATAAATATTGTGTAAACCATATCACGTCCCCAAGTTTGGTAACATGAAAATACATTCTCAGTTTATTTCACATATATTTTATAAGAAGTTGGAGTGCTAAATTAGAGTGAAATGAAACCACGCAAGAAATAACACAAGACTTGGATTTCATATACCATAGCAACTGGCAAAAATAAAAAAGTATGCAATATATCTCTTTCCTTCATACTGAATATATTACATAAACAAATAGACATTTAAAAGGCAATTTAGATATCATATTTTATGGTCATCAATGATGTCAAATTAAAACAGGTATTATACACTCAATGCACAGGTCTGGAGTATTTAAGAAGCTCAATATGTTAAATGCAGTATATCTCTAGAGAAATTAGGTATTGACTGAATGCCTCAGTGAGTAGAAAAATCTACAAAAATCCATACCACACATTGATCCAAATATTGCTTTTTTTAATATTACTAAGAATGTAACAAATTTTAAAACACTGTATTTGACACAGATATAATTCTCTTTAATTATCAGGCAACGAGCCCAAAATATGTCCATATTTATATATGTTAGTTTTTATGAAGAATAAAAAATTAATAGAAGAGATAAGCCCAACATATATTACTCTAATTTTACACTAAATGAAGCATTTCAGCCACTCAGAAAATAACTTTAGGTCATGTAAGAGAATTGAGTTGAAAGAATAACTGTAGTTTTTAAAAAAACATACAGATATACAGATGTATGACAGTTCCAGAAAGGGTAATCTATCCATTCATCCATCTGTCAATCTATCCATCCATCTCTATATATCTCTATTCATATCTTTTGTTTGTAATCTGATTTTTCATAAAGTTGAACTAGAAAATGCTTAGGTGAAACGGCTGATTGGCACCTTATACAACCTCCTTCATTATAAGAACTCAACTAATGCACAGAAAAATGAGAGTTAGCTACGGTTTCTAAATAACTACTGCGGAAAGTAGCAGAGACCAGATAGTCTGTCTGACCAGGTTAGCAGTGTCTGTTAAATGGATAATTCATAAGTCAGTCTTCCATGGCACCCTGGACATTTCCCTCAGCCTGACAGACACAGCTATCCCTGACACATAACAAATATAATACTTTGACAACTAGAGGTTCCATTTCCTCGTGATAACTTGTTTTGTTCTTTATGTTTTCCTTTGCTTTATCTTTCTAAGTATTTATTTGATATCATAGCTGGGCTAGCATAGAAAAGATTTTTCTGAGGTTAAACTATATAGTGACTGTACTGAAAGTAAACACATGAATATTTATGAATCTGACCTTCTGTGTTAACCTACAGGATTCATGGCCATGTTTATTCCAGTTTCTAGGTATGACTAAATGATTATCTCATTTCTAATAAAATCCTAAAGAGGTAAGTTTTATTTTAGAAAATTAAATGCAAAACATTAGGAATGAATAGTATTCAAACGTGAGGATATCAAACCCTTCATTTTATATACCAGGCTAAGACTTGATATTAAAATTTCAGCAAATACATATATATTTATGTGTGCATATATCTATGTATGTACGTGTGTACATATCTGTATGTATATAAACATATATGTATGTATATCTATATGGTGATATAGATAAGCCTAGAAGTTTAGTGTAAATTCCATTTTAAATGCATTAAGTGAATCTTCTTTTTATAGGAATCTTATGAAACCTGTGATAAAAATGAATACGCACTCCAGCGTATAACTTTCCAGAAAATACTAAAAATATGGAATGTGGTCTTTTCCCCGAATGGTCCTCCCAGGGAGGTAATATCTTTCTACCATCATTCTCAATTCAATCTTCTTCCCCAAAGACCTAGCATGGTGAAATCTACCCAGCTCATTCAACGTACATTATTACTTAGGAAGAAAAAAACTTAAATGGATTACAGAATAAAAATTTGTTCTATTTTTTTATGAAGGTAGCACAATGGAAACACTACTCTAAACTATGGAATAACTGTAGAGGATTTTCAGAATTACCACAGTCCAAACATTGACCAGACCAACACGTAAGAATGATACTTCCCATTCCACAATCACACTGGTTTCTTAGCTGTTTAAATAGTCAAAACCAGAGCAGAGCAGGATTAGAACTATCAGTTGAGATAAGTGGCCCAACCATGAGTTAATGTCATTATTAACACTACTGGACCAATGCTTAAAAATCTGTATGATGAATTTCCAGTTATGCCACTATCATAAAAGTACTTTCAGGTTTCTGAAAATTCTTTCATAGTAATAAATCTGGCAAAAGTGAAAAACGAAATTCATTGAGAGTAAAAAAAACTTGAAATTGAAAAAAAAACCTCACTATCATGAGAATTTTTCTTACATTTCATAACTGAATTAAACCCATGCCCCATTTATATCTTTAAATGCTCACTGTAACATTAACAATGTAAATGGTGAATAAATAACACAATATTATTTAATTTCTGAGTGATCATTACTTTTCTAACCAAACTATGCTTGAAAAACAATGTAGCGATTTCTTTTATTCTGATCAAAAGTATAAAAGCTAATTTCCAATTCAGAAAATTCAACCTATGATTCTTCCTGAAAGAGAGAAGATATACAGCCAATGCAACTGTTTCACTTTTTCATTGGCCTACCTTAAACTAGTGTGGGTTTTAATTGCTCTGGAAAATGATCAAGACCCTCTACATTACATGGTCAATGGTCCTTTTAATAGAAAAGGCAATAATATACAGTTGTTTGCACCAACTAAAACTCGTTAGGAAGTCTCAGTTTAGGGGAACAGTTCAACAGCCATTAACAAGTGCAAATGTCTAATTGCCTTTTAGTGAAAATGCGGTTCTTTCAAAGCTGTTTAAAAATTATTAGTATGGTTTAGCATATTTGAAAATACTTTTATAAACAAAGTTTACAAAGAATATAATTTTGAAAGCCGAAGTTTTTCAATAATCACCATTTTTTTTACTAGCATAACATTAGAATTGACTTTTTGTCTTGCTGACAGAGCAACTAAGAAAGTACAGTTGCATTGACCATATTGATTGTGAACAAAGCAACCATCAGGGGGACTCTGCACCATATATTTTCAATATTGACCTCCTACTTCCTTTTCCATGGCTTTCTGGGTCGGCTATTGGATTTGGACTGCAGTGTAATAAACAGCTAAGGTTTAATTAATGGTAAATGAATACAAGACATAGGTTATGACTTTAACTAATTAGGGAATTGTTGAATTAAGTCTGCCTTGGAATGCAAGGCAGTACAATCAATATCCAATAAAAGGACTATGTATGTAATTTACCTGCAAATGTGTTTCCAATACCATCAAAGTGAGTTTAAATAAGTAAGATATATGAAAGGCGACTAGGAAAGATTTCCACAAGTTAACACTTTATAGTTTCAGCGAAGATTTTTCTTATTGTTAAGAGATGGTCTCTTCCAAAGCTCTGAGAAGGGCATGTTGCAAAAAAGGAATAAATCTTCACATGTGCACCTTAACCAAATCTGTAATATTCTCTACAGCACAAAAATTCAGTTGCTGACCTCTCCAAGTTGAACCTATACAAACTAGCAATTTCCTGCCCAAAATGAGCATCAATCTTTGCTTACTTCACACCCTTTTGCTCTTTTCTCATTTGTCATGGCCTGTATCTCCTCCTCCTGTTTCAGATAAATATTCACTGGCATACAAGAATTTAGTACTTTTGATAAAAATTTCACCAATGCTCTCATGCTTCAAACTGGCTATGCAAAGGTCTTTTCATGGAGTCTTACTACTCTCTACTCTTATCATTCTTCTGAAATAAAAGTATGAAAAAAGACAAAAAGAGACCTACCCACTCCTTTGTGGGCATCCAAGCTGGTAAACTCCATTGTCCCATTATGGCCTTTTTTAGGGTTTTCCTGGTACTGTTTGTGGTTCCCATTGGGACAATATCTGAAGGAAAGTCCATAATCTGCAAGATAAACCTGGAAGACATGAACAAATGAATAATGCTTTTGTCCTCTGAAAATATAACCTTTATAATTAAATCTTAAGAAACTGTTAGGTTAAGCACAGCCTTAGATCTGCATTTTATTAAACCCAGAGGTGCCTCAGGATAAAATATATACAAATGGGGGTCGTAACAACTAACTTCCCAACTTACATCCTTACTTCATCATCGGCAGATCTTGTTTCTGAGTTGAGTTAGATTTTTAGTCTTTTTATTTTGCTCCCCAATTCCCTTCCCTCCAGGTGGGCATCTAGATATCATAAACCACAATATGTCATTTTATCTGTATTCATACAGCTTATGAGACTCTGCCTTTTCTTGTAACCCCCTCCCTGTAACATGAAACTGTTTCAAGCAGGGAGGGGGAAATGAAAGCAAACAACCTAAAAATATAAACTTAATCTTCTAGGAGTCTCCATTAATAGGAATTATAAAAATAGTAGACAGACTGTAAGAGGTAATGACTCAATAAAAAACAACAACAACGACAACAAAAAACCCAACATCATGTTGTTTATATATAAAAATGGAATATCAGTGCACTTTTTGGCCTTTTAAACCGATCCATATCATCGCTGTCATCTTTGCAAGTAAGTCACAATTGCACGCAGGGTCTCCAAACAGAATATAAATTGTTAAAAGTTAGAAGGCAATTCAAGACAATTTTTCTCAGATTACTTTTGGAGAGAGAAAGGAGGGAGTAGTTTTACATATATAGGATACACTGAATAGGGAATTGTTACGACTAGATATTTATGCTGACATGTAGTCAAAATATAGTAGTTCCCAACTATATGTTACCATACTCCCCCCCAAAAGAAAAAAGTTTCAACTTTTAAAATGTATTGTTTCATGTATATTTCTTTAAAATTTAGGGATTGAGGCAACATTTCATGATGTGTTTTCAAGACAACAGAGTACTGCAAAACAATTTGTGTTTTAAAATATTATATCTATTAAAAGAAAATTTAGTACTTAAATTTTAGTTTAAGTTTTTGGTTTTAGGATAGCCTAAACAGGATGTATTTTGAACTTCAAAATATAAACAGCACAGAGTTTTCTTCATTTGTTGGAGAATATATAATAGCTTGCTAGAGTGTCTGAAAACATATTTCAGTTTTGTCTCTCACCTGCACAAGCTGTTTCTCAGCACTGCCTCAGAAGTAATTGATCCCTCTGCCTTAAGCAGCAAGACTTCAGGGTCAGAGGTATAATTGGTTGCTTGCTTTTACTATTTATGATGCATTTTCATCTTTATTTCAAGAGCTAAATAGATAGACTGACTTCATTTTGCAAAGCAGATATGCCAGAAATGTACATATTGATAATTCAGCAAATGGAAACATGTATTAGATATACTAGTTTACTAAAAAAATAAAAAATAAAAAAAAGCTATCAAGAAACTTTTCATGTTGTGATTAGCCACAAAGATAAGATCTAAAATTCATGGAGTGCCTGATACACATCAGAGCATGCTAAGAGCTTTACATCATTGACCCACGCCATCCTCACAGAAATCCTGCAGGTAGCTACCATTATCTCCACTTTACTCAGGTGTAAACTGAAGTTTAGTGCAATTATGTGACTAGAGTAGTAAAATGGAGCCAGAGGCTCCAGTCTTCACTCTCAATCACTATCAAAAGGAATCTGCACTGCACACGTTAGATAGACAAGGAAGACTATTCACGGCTATTGCAATAGCGGGGAGAGATTAAACTGAGCTCCACTGAAACAAAAGGTGGGAAAGTTTTGAAGCACTGGGAGTGAGCTAGTGAAAAGTACCGGAGGACATGAGGGGAGGCTGGTCAATGAGGCTAGGTTATCTATGTTTGCTAATTGGTGCTTAGGCTCTCACCCTCCTTCAGAAACTGGGGGAATGGAGCACAACGCTTCATACAGATTACATTTTAAAGAGATGCCTCCTAGGTCCTTGAGGTTCTTGAGAATGGGCTTTTCTTTGTTGGGAAGTTTATGATTACTAGTTAAATCTCCTTAATACTAATTGTTCTGTTCAGATTTTTATTTCTTCATGATTCAATATCGGTAGGTTGTACGTGTCTAGGAATTTATCCATTTCTTCTAGGTTAGCTAATTGGTTGGTGTGTAATTGTTCACAGTACTTTCTTATGATTCTTATTTCTGTGTTACCAGTCATGATGTGTTTTCTTTCATTGCTGCTTTCCTTTATTTGGGTCTTCTCTCTTTTTTTTTCTTAATCTAGGTCAAGGTTTGTCTATTTTGCTTGCTTTCAAAACACCAGCTCTCAGTTTCAATGATCTTTTCTATTGCCTTTTTAGTCTCTATTTCATTTACTCTCACTCTGAAATTTATCATTTCCTCCCTACTACTAACTTTGTGCTTCGTTTGTCCTTCTTTTTCTCTGACCTTTAGGTGGAAAGTTAGGTTGCTCATTTAAGATCTTTGTTCTTAATGTAGGAGTTTACTGCTATAAACATCCCTCTTAGAGCTGCTTTTGCTGTATCCCATAAATTTGGGAATGCTGTGTTTGCATTTTCATTCATCTGAAAGTATTTTTGGTTTCCCTTTTGATTTCTTCTTTGACCAACTGGTTGTTCAGGAGCATGCTGTTATCGCCACATATCTGTGAATATTGTAGTTTTCCTGTTGTAATTGATTTCAAGTTTCATACCATTGTGGTTGGAAAAGATGCTTGATATGATTTCAATTCTCTTACATTTATTAAGACTTGTTCTGTGGCCTAACATGATTTATTCTAAAGAATGTTCCATGTGCACTTAAGAAGACTGCGTATTCTATTGCTGTTGGATGGAATGCTTTGTATGTCTGTTAGGTCCATCTGGCTTAACATGAAGTTCAAGTCCAGTGTTTCTCCACTGATTTTCTGTCTGGATGATCTATCCACTGTTGAAAGCCCCTGACAATTATTGTATTTCTGTCTATTTCTCCCTTCAGATCTGTTAATATATGCTTTATATATTAGGTGCTCCAATATTGGGTGCATAATTGGTGGTCTTAATAGAGAGCTGTGGGTAGGATTCAAATAATCATGGAAGGCTACTGCACAAAATAATAAAACAAACAACTACCTCCATCCACCCCACTATATAAAACTTTTTTTCAGTTTGAACTTCTTTCCATTAGTATAGCATATGGTTCTTAACATTTATATTCTTAGAGATTCAATGAGAATTAGATAAATTCTCTAAAATTCTCATGAAAGTTTTAGTATCAGAATCTATCAATATTTTAAAATTATAGATTGTGAGGCACTACTAAATAAATTTAAGATTGATTGCATTTATTGGGTAGAGATTTGTTGCAAGAGGAAGTAAAGCGAACAATTTGTCCCAAGTAATCAAGGCGTCGACAAATTATTTTGTCTCATATAGGTCAAAGTGAAAGTTTCTACTAAGATAACTTTAGAAATTCACAGTCCAGAATTGTGTAGGAATAATTAAAAAAAAGAAAAAAGCCAGGAAATGTCAAAAAAGATAAGGAATGGAAGAAAGGTAAGTAACTTTTGTTGAGGTTCTAATTATGTGATAATCACTGAGCAAAGTACCTTTTACAAATTATTTCATTAAATCCAGTCAATCACCCAACTAGGTAGCATTGGTCTCATTTTAGACATGAGGAAGCTGAGCATCCCAGTAGTTAAACAACTGGCCCAAGTCACAACGCTCCTACAGGATGGAAGCAGGATTCAAACCCATGCCAATATGACTTCAAAGTCCATTGTCTTTTTAAAAATACAATATCGAGTTTGGGGTTCTACCCATTTCTGAAATTTTGTTGAAGTAAAAAATAAGTTCAAGCAGAACTCAGTCTACAGGAGGGTTTACAGTCTAGGTCCTGTTTTTATATGCCCTTGAGCTATGAATTATTTTTACATTTTTATAGGATTGTTAATAAGAAAGAGAATATGCAACAGAGTCCCATGTGTGGCCCACGGAAGTCCAAAATATTTACTATCTGACTCTTTACAGAAAAGTTTGCCAACCTCTAAAGTAAAACTTTTTAATTTTTTTTATCATCCCTTTTCTGTGAAATCAAAAATAACAACTAGTTAATATGTTTTACTTTAAGTATAAATATATATAATATCCCTAATTTTAGACCAGCCTGAAGTAGGAAACTCAAGATCACCAAGATCAGGTAGCGTGTGAGTATTTACATTATTTCCTAATTTGATTATTTCCTAAGACTTGACATTGGAAAATTTAAAACCTAGCTCCCTAATGCATTTTAAATGATTTTCTTTTTTATGCAACTTTTCTGACTTTAGTAACCATTTCCCTTCTCCATGAGTAAAAGGACAGTCCTGCCTGCTTCTCTTTCCATAGAGCTTCCTATTACATTGTACTGCCTCTCAGAGTTCTATGTGGGACTCATTTTTACCTCACCTTTATGCTTTTTAAAACATTGAGGTAGGTAGGGATGATAAGTGTCACTATCCACATTTAACAGATGAAAAATAATTTCTGGACCCAAATAATGCAAATCACCCAACACTCACTAAATCCAGCTTCTACGAAGAGTTTACTGTTTTAGTGAATTTCTCAACATCTCCATAAAACACCTAATCTGAATGAATGCTTTCATGGACTTTTGATTTAATCTTATTATTGAAAAGGTAGCATAGAAGCCACTGAGGTGCAATCCCATCAGAAAGAACTGGCCTTTCACCTGTGAGGAGCGCAGCAAGCTGAAATCTCCAGTGGCCAGATCGTTAGGACCTGCCACAGCCTAGGAGCCAAGGCCACATTCTCCCCGGGCAGCTCCTGCCAAAGAATGATCATGGTGGAGATACTACGTATGTGGCCATTTCTACCCAATCAGGGATTCTTCTAGTGGGTACTCTCTGCTCTGCTGCTCACAGATGGGTTGGCTGAGGCTTTGTCAGACTGGTATCACAGTCTGAGCTGTCCCGGCCCAATCCTTGTCCCCTTTTCTTTCACAGGTGTTACATCAACACCCCACCCTGAAAGTCTT